CAGGAGTCCAGTGGTGCTTCAAAGACAGGTAGAACTTATTCTGAGCATCAGCTAGCCTGAGCCAAGTGAATGAAGAGTTAACTTTGTTTTATGAAAGCTTGTGCTCAGAATAAATTTTGCTAGGCTGTAAAATGCCTCTGGACTTTTGTGTTTATTTTGCTGCTACAGAGCAACATGGCTACATATCTGGAATTAAAATTGACTAGTGGGTGAAAATGAAAGCTCTTGTAGGATCTTGTTCAAATGCCACACAGTGTTGACATTCAGAGATCTTCTTCGTGGTCTCTGTGCATCACACCCTTGGGATAGACTGTGCCTGCGCTGACCCTGTTCGGTACCGTTAGCAAGCCAAAGGGATTTTCGCGGCCACTCCCAGGTCACGTGCCAGGCTCCACTGCGCACGAGACCAAGGAGGGGCACGCAGATCCCGCCAGTTCTTTTCTGACCGCCGCGCTGGTAGGACGCCTTGCTTCGGTCGTTTAAGTATTTATCTCTAGCTTATCTTTTTCTGTGTTAGTTAGCCTTTTTTCTTTAATTTTTCTCTTAGTTTAGGGTATTTTTCTTTCGGGTTCGACTTTGAATTGTTTTTCCTCTCCGCCGGCCTATGGCTGCGTGGTGGGGTTTCTTCAAGCGGTGTAAGTCCTGTGGACTGAAGATTTCCCCCTCTGACGGACACTCGCGTTGTTTGTTGTGCCTAGGGGAATCACACCGCGTTGCTTCGTGTTGACATTGCCAAAGTTTTTCGAACCAAACTCGAAAAAATAGAGCTGCTCGGTTGCACTTGGCGCTCATGGAGAAGGCTCTTTCCCCACAGTCTTCCTCTCCTTTGGAGACGTCTGGGCATGCTTCGATGTCTACTCTGCCTTCGGACGCCCCTCTCCCCGCCTCGGGAGCTTCGACGTCGACAGTCGCTATCGATGCATCGACACCGAAACGGTCGGTATTGATCTGCGACAGCCCCGTACCTTCCAAGATCCGGAAGCAGGGGTCACATAATGCCGTACCTTCCAAGATCCGGAAGCAGGGGTCACATAATGCCGTACCTTCCAAGATCCGGAAGCAGGGGTCACATAATGCCGTACCTTCCAAGATCCGGAAGCAGGGCAAAGGCATTAAAGAAAAGCCTACAAAGCCTAAAAAGGGCTCAAAATCTAAGTCCATTCAGGTAGCCTCCACGGTGCCTGCGAGTCAAAGTCGTGCTCCAGTTTCTAGTCCTATGGACCATACTCAGTCTGTCAACTCTGATCCAGAGATGGATCTTACCCAACAGGCACCGTCATCAGAAGCCGAATTATCTGGCAATCAGTCTCTTGCTGGCTCACCAACGCACAGCATGGACGATCGACACCGACCACCTCCTTCACCTCCCTTAACTTGGGATCAACGCCAATGGCGATACCTGTATGGCAGCTATCCATACCCACAATGGGCCCTTCCTCCTCCGCCTTCACCGCCGATGGAGTGGGATCATCAGTCGGTGTCATCCAGAGTATCTCAGGATAGAGGCCCAGCATCGGGGTCAAAGAGTTCGAGGCCGACACACAACCCGTGCCCAGCCCTACCTCCGGTACCGATTTTGCCCGCTCCCTCTTCTGAGCCTTCTGAGGATTCCTCTAGTGCAGACGAACTCCCTAATCAAGGGGATGATGCAGACCTCCCTTCTCCACCTCCGGACGTTGAGGCTGATCTCCCTATTTCACCTTCGGAAGATGTCAAGTCATATGGTGACTTTATTCAATGGATGGCATTGGACCTTTCCATGACTCCCACTTTAATATCACACATGGTCGATGATAATGTTTTTGACATCATGCAGTCTAGCACTTCATCCCCAGTAGCGTTACCGATGACTAAGGTGATGTTGCAAACTACCAAAGACCTCTGGAATCGCCCTTCTTCGTTGTCAGTGTCTAACAAGAGACTAGACCACATGTATAAAATCCAAGAAACAGGTGCTTCTACTACCACTGAAACAATGGGGTTGGGAGTGGTCCCCGGAAGAACGGCCATAAATTTGCATGGCACTGATGCCGCTGGACTGGCTTGGACCATCGACAGGACAATTTCACCTAAGGAAATGATTGCTACCATCCTCAGAGACCATCTTGTCTGCATGGAGCACTTTATCTGTTGTTGTGATTTAATGGTTTTTACTCTTTTATATTGTTTTATGCAGGGGTCGTTTCATAGAAAAAGAGCTAGGGGAACTCATTAGCATAACTCATTGGCATATGCCACACCCCCTGACATCACCGGAAGTGTGTCATAAGGCCACACCCACCCACCCCCCTGTGCCAAAGGGATGCGTCCGCGTGGCTGGCAGAGCCCCGCCCGGCCTTCACATCCCCGGCGGGCTGGCTGGCTGACGGGGGAGGGGCGGTGCCGCCCATGCGCCAGAGCAGGCCCCTTTCAGGGGCGGCCAGGAAGAAGTTCGCCTCACAATTTTGCAAACTGCCCACCTGAAGTGGAGGAAGAGGAAGAGAGCCACTCCGAGGAAGAGAGCCACTCCGAGGCACCCTCCTCCCACGACAGTCCCGTCCGCCGTGCCCCGGGAGGCAGGCAGGCAGGGCAGAGGGGCGTCCCCCACCCGCCTGCCTTCTCCTCCCTCCCCTCCGGGGCAGGGCAGTACCGCCCGCAGCGCTTCTCCTTCCTCCCTCTGCTCCCCTCCATCCTTCCCTCGGCGCAGTGGCCAGAGCCCGAAGATGGCACCAGGCGGGGAGCGGGCCTTCCACTGCAGCGGGGACAGGACGGGGCGGGGGAGAAGAAGGGAGTCACTCCGGAGGCCCGTCCCCCCTCAGAGGCCGTGGGCACCGTCCCCACCCTTCGCTAGCCCCTCGCTCCCTGTTGGGCCGCCGGGGAAAGTGAAGATGCTTGCTGGTCCCCAGACACTTCCCAGCTCCGCTGCCTCATGGGCGGTAGCAGCAGGAAGCAGTAGCCAGTCGTCCCCCCCACACCAAGCTTCAGCGGCAACTGGGGAGGGGGCAGCACTACTCTATAGCATGGCTGGCCCTAAGCGCAGTTATATCATCCCCCCCTCACACACAGAGAGAGACACACAGACTCTCTCTCTCTCTCTCTCACACACACACACACAGGCCTCAGTAGCCCTACCACCCATCCCACCCTGACAACCATGCAGCTGCACGCTCCCATGTGCCCCCAGCACACACAGAGACTGGATGGGGCGCCCTTCCCAGATGCCGCCCACTCCAACCAGGCGCTGCAGCAGGCAGCTCCAGCCCAGGACCCGGTGTCCTCCCTCCACCCCCGGCGTCCACACTTCGGTTAGAAGCCCCTGCTCCCCTCCGAGGGGAATCAGCCTCCGCCTGCAAGCCCAGGACAGGCAGGGAAGGGAAGAGAGGCCAGCCTGCGTTCCTTGCGTTTGTGCCTCGCCTCGGGCAATCCCGGAGAGGTGTGTGTGTGGGGGAGCGGGTTGTCTCTGGACTTGCGTCAGCTCTCTGCCGGGCTGGAAGGCGCTTGCAGGGCTCGGGCGGGCCAGGGCTACCCGTCCCCAGACGCCTTCGGCCTCGCTCCCTCTCCCCTCGCGTGGTCCGTCCGTCAGTCGGCCCTCTGGGGCTCTGCTAGGCGCGTGTCAGCAAGCTGCCATAGAGTGGTGTGTTCTTTTCTACATATTACATTGTGCTCTGTCCATCCCCCCCTGTATCATCCTGTGTAGGTGTTTACTGTCTTTTGCTTGCTACATCTGCGGAACTGCTCAAGGCCAACCAGCTGGAGGTGGGATGGAGTTATGGCGTTGCTTTGCTTATTATGTATCTCATGCCTGAGAACTGAAC